GTTGCGTGGCACAAGGAGCGACGCAGGTAATGCCTGTGCTGCAAGCGGCGCCTGGCCAGAGTTTCATTTCCTGAGGTGGGACATCAGGGACTCCAGTGCTGTTTGTCCGCCTTGCAAAAGCGTGTTGAGGGACAGAAGGACATGAGAGTGGGGGCTGAGAGCTGTTTCTGCAAGATGCTTTTATCTCCAGAAACCTTCCTTTCCCTGTATGTCATCAATGCTGCACCTATACACGTGCTTTAAATCTTTAAGGCAGTTTTAAAACACGACCGGCTGTTCTCGCTCCGCATGGCTGTTAGCCACTTTTAGGCTGTTAAACAGAACGTGCGCCGCAAAAAAAAAAAAAGTGCGATTTCCAGATTTAGCTCGTTGTCTTAATTAAAAGTCAGTTCAGGTTGTACGCTTGTTAGCAGAAGGAAAGGTGGTGGTTGGGCGTTGGGGGGGAGCACCAGCTGGCGTGGTTTTGTTGATCACTTGTTTGCTGTGTGCGCCGACCGGCCTTCTCCTTGAGCGTGCTGCTTAAGTCTGACCTAAACCACAGCAAAATGTCAATGACGTATCCCTGCCTCAGTTTCCCCAGCCGTGAAAGGAAAGTAGAAGTGCTTCTAGATGGGCTGGCAGCTGCTGGTGGCATGAGGTATCGTTGCCCAGGTGGTTAGCGCTGGGGAGGTGAAAAGTTGGAATAACATCCATTATCTGAGAACTTCAGGGCTCACAAGCTGAGTTCATATCTGAAGGCGGCGTTGCAGAAGAGGGGAACGCGGCGCTGTTCTGAGGACGTAGCTCTGTGAGATGCTGGTTGTGCTTCAGTGTGCTTTGGAGGAGCTGCTCTGTGCTCCCCAACTGGATCCAAGTCAAACCTTGATGTGTGGAGTAAAAATCCCAACTGTTTAGTAAGAAAGTACTTTGATGTCTGTGTCTGCTCACGCTTATGCTTGCACGTGGCTTTTTGGACACACTCGCAGCATCCTTTGCTCTTGAAGAGCGTTGTTTTCCCAGCAGCAACCTGACCCCCTCCATGCCTGCATCATCCCCCTTCAGTGCCCTTTTTGGCTGGCCTGACTCTCATCTCTGGCTGGAAATGCTGGTCCGGGGCCATGCGGGAGCTGCTGCTTGCATTTGGAAGGAGCTCCCCGTTGGTGTTTTCCAAGGTACTTTGGTCACCTCCACTAAAAGGGTCTCTTGTGCAATGCCAGCGGGGAAAGAAATTGATGGTGGGCAGATTTTTTTGTGTGTTGAGAGCAGTGCCGGCCCCGTGAGGCAAAACGATCTCTGTTTCATTGCACTTCTGCCCCATCTCGTATTTTATAATTGCATTGTAAGTTCTGGGTCAGGGGCTGTGTCTTCCTTCTGCAGAGGAGGACCTTGGACTCCGGTCGTAGCTCCTGCCCCTGATGGGCTGGGTGGCTGGCACGGGGCACTTGGGGCTACGCTTGTATGTGGGGAGCTCCAACTTGAGGGGCTTTGAAGGGGATGGTGCTGCCACGTAGCAGCACTGAGCATCCCTTTGGGGCGGTGAGGACCAGCTATGAGATGGGGTTGAGGGATATCCAGGTTTGCAAAGCACTTCTAACCAGCCATGTCTGTGGGGTTTTGTAATTGGGGTTGCCAGGACAGCACCTTGTCGCTGGAGCAGCAGCCTGAGACGGAGAGCTCAGAGCTGTGGGGCATTGCAGTTTTGGAGCAGGGAGTGCCACAGATTCTTACCTCCCCTCCCCTGACTGTGGCACCTCCGTGGTCTTCCATGCTATAGGAAAATGCAAGTTCCCCTGCAACAACTTCTTAATTAAACCTTGCATGTGAACATGTAAACCAGATTTTGATTGGGAAAAAGCCCTGCAAGGGCTCCCTGTGAATGTGATTTAAGTCCTGCAAATGAACAAGTGCTGACCACATGCAGGGCTGTTGCAAGTGCAATGGAAAATAGACCTTGGAGTACCTATAGAAAGCATAAAGCAGTTGCGGCGTGGGGCTGCCATGCTGGACTGCTGCCTGCCCTTAGTCTGCAGGCAAATTGGGCAGAGCGATTTCCACTTACAAGATGGGCAGTCATGGCCCCGGCACTGTAAATCTTGTAAACTTGGGTGCAGAGGCAACTCTGACACCTCTGCTGGGAGCTCGTCAACTCGGGGCAAAAATACTCCTCTCCCTGGTGCGCGGGTCCTTTGTTTTTCAGCGTGCGTTGTTTCCTATGTGGAGAGAGCTGTGGCCAAACCCGACCCTCCGGGCAGGTATTTGGCCTGCGGGTTATACGCGTTAATGTAAAGGCAGTGCTGAGCTTCCTACGCTGCTGGTGGGTCCCCTTTGTAAGCAATTGCCTCCCTTGATGAATAAATAACCTCGCTACTAGCAAATGTTATGTTCTTCTAAATACCAGTGTCATTTGGAAATCATTATCCTGATGTTTTTGGCTAACAGTAGAATTTATCAGTTCTCAAGTTGCCTGTTTGTGTTTCCAATAAATACTTGAACACTTTTTTGGCAAAGAGCTTCTTACACCCTTTGAACCAGCCTTTTAAAAGATGCCGTTGCGTGACATCTAGAGAAGCAGAAGGAGTTACTGTGCAATCCAGTGAGCCCTGAAGCCCTGCCTGGGCTAAGCAAAGCCAAACCAATCCTGAAACAGTGAGAGCTGCAGTGCCTGGACATGGTTAGTTTGGTTATTAAGGTTTTTAAATTGGGTACCAGAGCCTGTTTTGCATTGCTCCTGTAAATAATGAACAGCTAACAGCCAGATCCTAATGAGGAGGATTTGTTTTGTATGGTTTTACCACTGTGTTTATGCTCTGGGAAACCTGGTGGTAATTTTGGTGGTTGTTGATGTGCCGGTAGATGAAGCAGCCGTGCAAATAGCCATTTAACCCACGCCTTCTCTTGGCACTAACTCTGAAAACTTGTTTTTCCAAGTTATTATAGATCTTAAAATTTTCCCAGAGAGCATTGCTTGGTGTCTGGTTAGACCTTCCTGAGGTCTCCCTGCACTTGGGAAGGTGGTGAAATCATTGGAGAGGGCAGAAAAGCAGAGCAGATTTATTCCCGAGCAGAGGGAGGGGTGTGAGAGCAGAGGCATCTCTCGGTGGGCTTGCAGTTGGCTCCTGTGTCCTCCTTACGGCCAGTCAATCACTAGTTCAGGGCTTCAGAGGATCAATGAGCTGTGATAAAGTTCCTCTCCAGGAGCATCTAATGCCGCAGGGAAGGGATGGGTTAAGCTCTTAAACCAGAGTATGGGCGTAGGTTGCTTGAGATGGCAGTGGTGGCCAGGAGGCATCTAAACCCCAAGGTGTGGATTTGTGGCTGGTTTTGTGTCTTTCCCACCCCCTGGGTCCTCATCTTTCTTCTTTTCTCCCCTGATTTAATCTGGCTGTGAAATCAGAGTTCCTGCTCTGTGATTTAGTCACTCATTTGATGGGGACAGATTGGGATCAAACAGAAGATTAGGGGCTTCGTTACAGGGTAGGATGGGAATGAGGAGCTTTCAAGTGGGAAAGCTCGTTAGAGCAAATGAGATGAGCATGGAGAGGATGTTCTTCCTTTTGCAGGAATTTATTAGTGTCCCATTTAAGCTGTGTTGGATCTGTGCTGGTTTGGCATCGCCCCTTCCTTGCTTATTTGCAGGGGTGCCTGTTGACTCCCAGAAAAACAGGGTTTTGCTTGCTTCCTTCAGAGGTGAGGACCAAATGCAATATGTAACCTAGAAGGGCTCTTCCTACCAATCATCTCCTCTTCTCCTGCAGGAAACACATAAAGTTTACAGGCAGAAACTGGAAGAAGTCACCAGCTTGCAGACAGCCTGCAGCAGCTCCATACACCGGCAGAAGAAGACACTACGGGATCTGAAGCGCAGCCTGCAACGGTAACAGGAGACCTGGAGGGTGGAGGAGGCAGGGATGGGATGTTTCCCCTTCCCAAAGTGCTGAAATGTTTGGATTTTTAGCATTTTAACACGCAATCTGCATTGTGCTGCTAATTTTGCTCCGTATTATTCTTGAGTCGCCTCCATCTATCACAGCCAGGTAAAATGTTCGTAACCCCATGAGAGATGGAGTCCTGTAAGTAAAGATCTTTGGGGGAGCCTGTGTGAGTCTCCATCCTTACAGCATGTGCCATACGCTGCAGGACCGTACAGCTCTTGGTCCGTGTGTTTTTCTAGGTGAGCAAAGCTTTGCTCTGTAAGCCGTTCTGGAAGAGCAGCATCAGTCCTTGAACCTGAAGGTATAACTTGCTCCTGGGTGGATTTATGGGAGGGAACTGTCTTTGGCTGCTTGGCTGATCCCTGGGAGCCAGGGGCTAAATTCCTTATGTGCAGGTCTGAAAGCACCGCCTCCAACACCACGGGTTGCTAGCGCTGCTATGTTCTGCTCTCTGTTTTACATTAATTGGTAAATCCGCAGTTTGTCAGTAAATCATCAGCTGTGCGTTTTGTTACATCTGAAATATTTCATGCCTAAAGAGCTGCAGCCTCTGCAAGAGCAGTGCCTGAAACCGTGCGCAAAGTTCCCAAAGTGGAAGGCGTTCCAGCAAAAAAGCAGAATATTCCTTAAGTGCTTTGCTAGGGAAGAAGCATAGGATCCTGTCACTGAGCTGAGATGAAAAGAGAAGCTGATTTATCAATCAGCAGGTTGAAATAACCTACAATGGCATAAACCAGGCAGTGAAATAAAATCACGGTAAGCTAAGTGGTGCTGGAGAAATACAGGAGCAAAGTGCGCAATGGCATTCAGCTCACGCAGTTAGTTTTTTAACAGCATGGACTTTATGACAACATTATTTTCCTTTAAATAAAAAGGAGGTAAAAACATGAACAGGAATATGTTGTTTCTGTGTTCTTGCAGGTGCAAGCCCAGAGCGAGTCCTGAAGAGTTTGCTCTCATTCAGGAGATCAGCACCCAGATCAAGGAGAGGCAAAATGCCTTCTTCGACATGGAAGCCTACTTGCCGAAGAAGAACGGGTACGTGCTTCGCCAGGGAGGTGTGCGCTCTGGGAAAGCTGATTTTTTTAAGTGTTTGCAGCGGTGTTGTTCCTGAAGGATAATGTGCATGTTGAAGAAATTCATGTAAAACAGGATTAGTCATAAATCTCTGGCTGAGCTGCTGTGTCAGTTGTACACAGAATTTATTAGCTGGAAGTGTATATAAATGTACTGCGTGTAGGCAGTGCAGGTTTTCTTGTTAAAATAGAAGTAACCCTGCATTGGCAAGAGATCATGCAATTCACTGTTTCACACTGATGTTTTCCTGTGCTACTTTTTTTTAAACTGAATCAGCACAAGAATTTGCTCTCTTTTCTTTTTTTTTTAAATAGTGTTTTCAGCTGAGTTAAATTTTATACTTTGCTTCAAGTGGGGTTGCTAGGACAGATTTTTTTCAGTTCTCAAGGGCTGTGCGACGCTGCAGCCCCTCAGAAGTTTCTGTCAGAAACTTTTCTTCCAATTTCTCCTTGTTATTTTTGGTTTTGGACAGTGCACACTACGTATCTTGTCCTTAGACTGTAGCGCAGAAAAGGGACCAGGAAAATAAACCTTTTTTCTGACTTCTTGGAAACACTGACCAATCTTTCCACGTTTAAATCCTCTTCTGTAGTCTATCTCTCCAGTTTGCCTTAGTTAAAAACCTACAGCAAATATGGCTTTGGCAGATATGCCGGTCTCTTCAGCTCCGATCTGGGTCATCCTGCAGTGTTCAAATAAGATGACTTACTTGGGTCTGCTCTTGTCTTTTGTCTTCCAGCTTGTACTTAAATCTGGTGCTGGGAAACGTGAATGTAACTCTCCTGAGTAACCAAGCAAAGTGAGTGAGTGTTTCCTTGGGTGTGAATTTGTGTTTCTCTGGGGCCAGCTGTGGATATGAACTGAAGTCCAGAGACCGGAATGGGTTTCTCTTAGATCTAATAAAAGATGAAATGTCAAGGGTGGGCAAGTTGGACCATGACATGGGGCCAAGCTAACGCTTCATGTAGCTCGGATGGATTCTGTCCATCACTTGCTTTTAAGCCCAGCGCAGCCTGTTGCCTTAATTGTAAGCGTTTGGTTTTTTTCTGCAATGAAAAATGGTATTGTGACTTCTAGGCATATGGTGCTCCAGAAAATGGAGTGTGGGTTGTTGTTTTTTGGGTTGGCTTTTTTTTTTTTAAAAAATCTTATTATGCCAACCCAGAAACCAGCTCTTATGGACTTAAGCCATTGTCTTGCAGCATAATGGTCGTGCAGCCTAGACGGACCCTGCAGGCAGAATGCTGCCTTTCACTGCTGTCCACTGGTTTTCTAAATGTTTCAAGCAAAACCTCTGTCTCTGGGCTTGGCATGTGGATTTGTATCTGGTTTGAAAAAAGTGAAGCCACGTTCCAGTAGAAAACTCGTTTGTGTCCATAAGCTGTGGCTGTTCCCTTCCAGGTTCGCCTACAAGGACGAGTATGAGAAGTTCAAACTTTATCTGACGATAATCTTGTTACTCGGGGCTGTTGCCTGCAGGTTTATTCTACACTACAGGTAAGCTGCGTTTTTACTTTTAATCAAGTATTTTGAATGAAAATGTGGTGGGTTTGAACTAACTTATCTTCTGTTAAGGATGGTGAGATGGGCTCTGGCAGTGCTTAGGCTTTGAGCAGTTGGACAGCAGGACAGCTTCTGCACCTCTTCTTCAACGCTGGCAGGACCTGTATTTTAGCTGCTTGCTTTTCCTTGTTTAACTTTTTTTGGAGTCTCTTGCAACCAAGAGAAGTCCAACACTGTGTTTCCCGATCTGTTGTTTTTCTGGCATCATGCTGTGCTTGGGAACAAGCAGTTGGTTTTCCTCACGGGTTGTCCCAGGCAGGGACTGGCACCGTGCTGCAGCTGTGGGGTTGCAAACACAACAGGAGAGGATTTGCATGAAATGATTAGACCTGAAATGTTATCTCTAGGTCACGATAACGTATCTGAGCACCAACAAGCTTCCACTGTTCAGTTTTGCTTAAAAAACAGGAAGGTGTTGGAGCCAGGCACTTCCACTGAGGTCTCTCTGGGTCTGGGGTGACTGAATCAAAGGACAATGCTGCCATATACAGAGTCTGCCCCAAATCCCCCTGGCTTCAGGGGTCTGCAAATGGCAAAATAAAGGCTTTACCCCCCCCCCAGAGTGTAATGCTCTTCTGCTCTTTCAGTTGATTGGATTTATATAGATCTCATGGAATCTCCTCATTGAATTAGCCTGGAAATGCCTCTCTAAATTGGATCATCTGCTGCTTCCATGGTGCTTTCTCTCCTTCAGAAGGAATTAATGTCATCTCTGTGTACCTGCTTATCGGCTCAAGATCTGCAGGGTTATATCACAGGGCACTTCCCAGAGGAAAGGACTCTGAGCCCAGTGGTTATGCCGATGCTCGTGGCTCTGCATGTGGATTGGAGATGTTCAGGACTGGGGTTTTGTGTCCATGGCTCACTTGGGGCAGGTTTTCATTTGCCCAAGGGGAGGGAGGAAAAATAGGAATTTTTTTTTTAATGTGTCTTATAATCAACAGGTTTGTTTTTTTTTTTTAACTGTGTGTTTTTTCTGTTTAACAGGGTGACAGATGAAGTGTTTAACTTTCTGTTAGTATGGTATTATTGCACACTGACGATACGGGAAAGCATTCTCATTAGCAATGGATCAAGGTACTGTGCCACCTGCAAAAACTATTTAAAGCATGAAATGTCCTTTAAAGAAAAACAAGCAACAGAAGGGGATTCAGCTTCACACCGAAGCCTAGGAAATCTGAGATGCTGGTGTCTCTCTGCAGGGTCTGTTGTCTCTGTCCCCCTCCCTGGTTGCTTCCAAGGGCAGATGTGGCCACCTGAGATCTGGGGAGGGAGGAGAAGGTGCAATTCCTAAAAGTCCGTAAGCTCTTTGTCCAAAGTGTTGGATGTTCTTGGTAGCTGCGGGTTAGTTGTAAATGTGGTCTGGAGTGTAAGCGTGTGTGTTTGGTGAAAGGACCAACCCAAGGTAGTGGCTCTCTGCCCTGCGGTTAGCGTGGCTGCCTCACAGGTCACTGCCACGTCTCCTGAAGTGTTCGACTAAATTACAGTCACGTTGAGGGAAAGTTGGCAGTTAGGAGATAATTGCATAAAGAGCTGGGAACGCAAGTAAAACCCTGGGAGGTTAACCAAAAGATAATCCTTACTCCAGGCCCTCGTTTCTTTATGGCACTTTTAGTATCCTAAGGCAGGGTGCTGAGGTCCTGATGGTGAATCACTCTTGGAGCATCTCCATTAAGTCTGAGTCGAGAAATTGCTCGAGTTTGCACTTGTGTAACTTAACCTGGATGGGAATGAGGAGCTTTCAAGTGGGAAAGCTCGTTAGAAAGAGCAAATGAGATGAGCATGGAGAGGATGTTCTTCCTTTTGCAGGAATTTATTAGTGTCTCATTTAAGCTGTGTTAGATCTGTGCTGGTTTGGCATCGCCCCTTCCTTGCTTATTTGCAGGGGTGCAACCTGGAGTCTGGTGTTAGATTTTAGCAATAACCTGATGGTTGCATGTCCCTGGTTTTCATCATCCAGATAGGCCGGCACAGGGAAACCGCAGCAATTGCCACATCTCTTCCCAGGCATGAGTCTGCATGTCGGTTTGCAGCTGGGTGAGTGGCTGCTGCTGCTGCTGCAACACTTGCAGCTCCCCGTTGCATTAATTAATTTGGCTTCTAATGCATCGTTTGCCAACTTTTGTGCGGGCAGCATCGCATTAGCCCAGCTTCACGCACTCATTCCTG